GTAACGACTTAAGTTAATCGAGTACACTTCAATAGAATCCATTTCAATCTATCAGATAGATGCAGAATACAGCGAAATCTACTAGATATCATCATAACAATTTGAAATTAATGAAAAACGCGTAGAATCTGATTGATCTTGAAACTACATAGAATCTATCGTGATACGCCAAAATTAGTTGAGACACAAGCATCTAGATGTTTCTGATCTGTTTTTTCTTCTTAGTCGTGAATTGAGTAGTCAATGATCCCATTCTAATTTGTTTTTTTTGGGCAACAATGGGTCCTCACATCCATTAGCACCCGCTCCTTCCACTTTCTTTTGGGCACACTTCAGATAAGATATTCTATCAGTCATCAAGTTCCATCAAGGTCCACTAACATCCAAAGATCCAGGAACCACTATGTCCCCTTTGACTGCAATCATTATTTCGTTTTGTTTATAACTCACGAACATTCTTGCGAATTTCGATCATCTGACCTCGTATTAACTATGCCTGATATGACATTGAAATTAACAATAACACTAACTTGAGTGGTGATTTCTTTGTGTTTTCAAAGAGAGTTAAAGTCATTCGACTTACGTATGGTTCAAATATGAGTTCTGTACATTAAATAGGCAATTATCTAAACTTTGAAAATATCCATAGCGCAGCTTTGTACCGTTTTAGAAATGAAAGTAAATGATATCCTGTTAAACCAAGTTCCCATGATCTGAGCTTACAATAACTGCTCTTGCCTCATAACGGAAAAAGGTAAGATCATATTGAAAATAGCCACTGCAAAATAGAATGGAACTAACGACTGGTTAGGACATGTTAAATTCTGATTAGAGCTGTGTCTCACAACGTCTTCTATTGAACATCGGAAGCCGCAGATCGCCAATTGTATAGAAAACTTTGTCAAACACTACGAGCCGTCTATTGGTAGGTATGCCGAGATTTGTCCATCAAACTTTTGAAAATTCGAGCATCATAGAATGACGCGATCGAATACTAAGCATAGAAAAGGAAAAACCGATTCTTCAAAAACTCTAAGCATCGTTTCATACAGTGTGTGTTAATTGATGTAGAGATAGCTCTAGTCAACAATTAAATAAAAACTGAAAAAGGCTGTAACATTTCATTCAAAAGGCTAGTTTCAAAGACAAGATATTCAAAGTAGAACAAAACAGTTGTAGAACTAACAAGAAATGTGTTTGAAGAAATCATTGCTTTGACAAGCCAAATCAATTGATTGTTTATGATTTGACTAAATTTTAGGGATACGAAAGTGCAGAGCTTGAACGACTTCCAGGAAGAAATAATCAAATTACAGGGTCTACGTCTTAAAAGAACTTCATATAGGATTTTTTCAAGAACATATATATGTATATAGGTAGATTAGTGTGCCCATTAGATGCGTGCTTTTAGACATAGTGGTTTTCTCTTCATTGTTCATGACATTCCTTTTCGAAGGAAAATAGGGATCGATTGATGACTACTATTTTAAAACTCCTTTAATTCAATTTTTCACTCACCAGTTGTCATTGTAGAGGCAGTCAAAGAAGTGCTTATACGCTGGCTTGATGCAGTCGATGAATCTCGTGAATGATCGCCTGACGCAACTGAGGAACGTTTCAGGCGTTCTATCTCTTGTTTCAGAAGCTGAATTTGATCTTTCTGACTCTGTATCTTTTGATCATTCTGTTGGACTTCTTGTTGAAGACGGTAGTTATCTTGATTGGCACGTTGAATTGCTTCTTTGTAATTTGAAATTTCACTGTTTAGGCGAACACTCTCTTGATTATGTTGCTTGGATTCTTGTTTTAGCCGATAATTATCTTGTTTGAGACGTTGAAACTCTTCTTCGTAGTCAGCACACTTCATATTGAGACCATGATTTTCAGACTCAAGTTTATCCATTTGAGTCTGTTGCTTGTTGCATTGTATTTTCAGACGCTCATTTTCGTTTTGGAGTTGTTCCATTTTTGATTGTAATTGTTCGTAAGTCGGCTTATCAGCGCCAGAACCTTAAAAACGAAGAAAATTTGTTTAAAATTACAAAAGGATAAGTAGTTTGTTTATTTAAGTTCAGCAAAATGAGACACATTTCTTTCTGGTGAGTTCTACTTGTCATAAAGAGTACTGCATACTCGATTAAAATTTAGAGTTGAAAAACAGATTCTACTTTTTTTTCTTTTGTTGTATATAATGAAAAGAAATTTTTGCAATCCTAGTTTTGATAACTTAACTTGTCCAACTTGCATGCCAGTTCGTTCTTTCTCATATATTGTATCTTCATTGAACGGAACATGCAATTCATTGAGAAATAGAACATACTATCCAGAGAAAGATCGCATGAAAGCAAAAAAGAGAATATTGTTGAGTCTAAATATATGCGAACCATTTCTAGAAATACTATTCTAGAATTTATTATTCTTTACATGGCGAGTATCAAGATTGAGTTAAGATCGATTCCGAAAAGAGGAATTAATCTGTGAACTATTCTGATCGTCAATGGTTTGGTACCGGGCTACATATTTCAAGTTATTCATCCATCATCAGCGAAAATACTCAGTTCGCATACTAAGTTAATCTTGCTGACTATCCTATAATGAAGCGAGTCAATTCTCTGTCCAACGAAAACGTTGCCTCTAATTTGTAATATTTGTCACTGTTGTCTTTGCCTTGCTTCTATGGATCATACACAATTAAGACATGTTCTGATTGACTGGATATTACTAATCTAATCTTCTATGAGTAGTATTTCTTGAGATTCCGTAACGCATTGAGAGGCCATTGCCTTCAGAACAATTACAGTAAGAATATAAATGAAAATATGTATGGTTGCAACTAAGAATCGGTTACACAACATTTGCGTGCGTGACATTTGCGCGCACGACCTTACCGCGCACGAGAATGTGAGTGTGGAAGTGTGACAGCTCCAGTTCCACAGATTGTGAGAGCTGGAACTACTCAATACCTGCAGTTCTCGTGCGGCAAAGCTCATCACCAGCTCAACTCTCAGTACTCGAACCTGTCCACCGACTCGCCTTCCAGAAACAGGAGCTGGAACTGTTCGCCAGCTCAGCTACTCACAAATATCCTTCAGAATAATACTAGCAATCCTGAAAATGCTACTCGTGTTGCTGAGGTGGCCATAACCATGCCTTAGGATGTTAAAAGGAGACCTGATGATGCTACTGACTGCCACAGACTTGCTTCAAGCGTCCCACACTTGCCTTTGTCATAAGCAGATATTTTTCTAGCAGGCTCATACCTGTCTCCAGCATCCTCAGCCATGGTTCTAGTATCCATAGAAACCATTTTATTATCCTCAGGTATGCTTCTAGGATCTCGAGAAATGGAAATAGATTCTCAAGGATTGCTAGTAGTATCTTCAAAGTTGATGGTCCATAGCTATGTCGTTGAACAGCTCAAGTCCCTTGTAGCGAAACTGGTAGACAGCTGCAACTACTGGGAGCTGAGCTGTTCACCAGCTGGAGTTGTCGCATATCTAACCCAGCTCATGCGAGCTAGAGTTGTTCACCAGTTCATCTACCAGGAATAGAAGAGGTGTCACCAACAACTAAAAGCATTCTTGAGGAAGCTAGAAACATGCGTATAGATGCTAGACCCATGCCTTCGATTGACAGCAGCGTGCTTAAGCCTTCTAGAAGCATGCTTCTAGCATCCACTCACTAGCTTTTAGGAACCTCAGGCATTGATCTAGCACCCGCAAGAATGCTTCTAGTTGTTGGTCACACCTCTTCATTTCTTAGTAGGCGAGCTGGTGGACAGCTCTAGCTCAGGTGAGCTGTAACTGTGTACGAGCTCTTCGACCAAACTCTCGAAACTTGTAGAACTGAAATTTCCACACACCTACACCGGCAACCTCGTGCGCGAGACTGTCGCTGCGCGCACGAGTCGTGCCACGCTACGAATCACATACGATAATTACCAAATCATCAATCTAATTTCCTTTTTTATGAACTATTTTACATAGAGTAAAGCTAATTAGGGTTTACATGTCCAACGAAAAAAACCATTCAATTGTTTGCCAGAAAGAGAGAATGTCAATGCCGGTATTTATTCACCAAAGCTCCGATAGAGGTTTTGATTATAAAATTTCATAATAACATTCAAATGCATATTTTTGAACATGTAGATTCTTCAGTAAAGCTTTAGAGCTACAAGAAGCATTGGAGTGCAAGCATCTTAGAGATAAACTTTTTTATTTATTCTCGTCTGAAGTAATGTCTACTATGAAATCATTTATTTGACTTTAATATCCACTTTACTCTTCTCCTCTGTTACTATTGTTGTTTCAGAATATTTTTCACCCATGATTGAAAACTGTATCGAACTACTAATTCAACTCGTTCTTTCCGTTAATCAATACATTTTATTGAGCTGGTCTGAACCGATAAATCGTTTTGAGATAAAACAATATTCGTAAAATAATAACTAATTGAGTAGTTTTCGAAATACAGCTATGAAATAGATTAATTTTGAGTTCAAGTACCAATGGGCACGGGTCTCTCTATTTCAAGGATTTAAGTTTGTCATTCACATATGACAAGAGAGTTGCTTTGGAAAAATTCTCTTCCAGTGTATGTACGTAAAAAATACGGAGATTTTTAGCGTGACTGATTCTATTTTCGTCCATTTGATTTAAATTGTAAGTGAAGTAACATGACTATTTTGGTTGTTGAATACTATTAGGTATGCCTAACAAAAGTTGAAAACTACAACCTCTAAAAGCATATGTGTCATTTGGATGGGATAGACTTAACTAGTGAAGGAACTGTGCTGACCAAGGAGCTGCTTTTTCAATGGGATTTTGTTCGAATGCCTTAGAAAGACAAGCACAATCGTTCGATCTGCAAGATTGATGTTATTTTTATCTTCGAATATACACTCATCTGTGGTACTGCTAATAATTTTCCATATTATGTGTTTCAAAACTTATTGTTTTATTCAACTTCTGATATCAGTCACACAACATTACATACTAGAGCTATTTCATGCTCTTCTTACCTGTTGACATAGGATTTGGCGGTTCAAGAAGCATAAATGGTGGTGGTACTTCGCGTAAATGAATGATATATAAATTTTCCATACTGCTCAAGTGGCTAATGACCTGGAAATGTGTGCATGGAAGAAGCAATATCTCTTCTTCCTGTGCATAGTATGAATGCTGTTTAATATCTTTTCCATTCAAGCAGTCGATTGCGAATAAAGTGCGTGGAGCTGATGTGCCCAAATATTGACTATTTTCCAGAACATTGATGGCAATAGTACATGAACTGAATGCCCACCATGTAACATTGTCACCCTGTTTGTACTGCGGGCGTAAATCACCGCGCACACCTCTCCAGACTGTACAATGAATTGATGGCAATTTGAACAAGGCTGTAAAGAATAGTTTTAAATAAGAAAACCAAGGAACAAGTTTCCTTCGATCTTCAAGGCGCAATGTTCGATTGAGGACTGAATAAAGACTAGGATGATCGGGGTCCCACTCGATGGTATACAGCACAATGGCGGCTGATTCATCCTGAGTAAGTTTGTCTGCTGGATTTTTACATCTATTTGTTGCTGTCCAGACGCGAGCGTCAACGTCATCAACTAATCCACGTAATTCTACAACAGCTTCTTTTAATGAAACAAGATGCTTTGTTGCATAACCACGCAAAGGAGTAAGTGCGTTTAAACGTTCTTCATTAGCATCGAGAAGACGAGTATTGATATGAGTCATCACGATCGAAGTTGAAGCCGTTGTCGTTGTGGAATCAACCTGTTAATTTTGTTCGAAAGTGCGTCCGAGAAGTAGTAATATAATGAAAATTATGACTTCGTATTTGTCTTGAATATGAAAATAAATTAAAATTCGCTCACAGTACACTCGATAGAGCTTCATTAGAACAACATTCTCATTTACAACTCGGACTTAAGATAGTATGCCTCACTTTTTACCACTTCACAAAGCATGATATTTCAGATAGATCATGATATCTCAGTCAAGTCTTCTTGATCAAGACTTACATTGAAAAATGCGCCTAGTGGTAAAGCGGCACCCTTGTGTCGCTTGCTATACAGAAATAGTTCTATTTAAACGCGATAAGATGATGACGATAGTGAATGTTGGTTATGAAGGATATAATACAAAGAATGGTTAAATGTATGAGACTCACGAGCATTGAAGTGTTAAATGCAATGACTTTTGGAAAGAGCTTTATATACAACGATTTCCTAAAATGTTAGGGTTTCAATATCGACGTGTGTATAAATTTTAAAGCCATCAAACTGAAACAAAAACAGATACTTTTCTACCTCGTATTCAATGTGCCACAAGCTGCTCTGAAAACCGATCCATATGGCTTTTTCATACAAGAAGTGACTAAGTCAGGACAAGTTTCTTTGAAACTGGACTTCGTAATTCTCCTCAAACTGAAGAGTACTACCTTAACAGTCTTTTGAAAAGTCATATTTATTAAGAGCTTTAAGGATTCATTCATAAGACTATCATGAAATCGGAGGGTTCATCCATAAGAATCAACAAGTTATTCGAGAGAAACCTACGATACAATCAATTTGATTTGATATGACTATGATTCACTAAAATTTATTAAAGATTTTGACTTTTGCTTCAGAAAGAGTTTTTTTTTCTCACGCTTCAAAAAAAAAACTACAATTTAGTAGGCTTTAATAAACTTTATCGAATTAGCCTGAATATCAAATGTTTTCACACAATAGTCATTACTGATATTTGAATGACATGTTATGAAGAGTGCATAGCTAGTGATACCTGCTATTGGGATTGGTGCTCTAGGGAAAGGGGTGTAGGCACCTGGAAACCACCTACGTCATCTTGTTGCATGACGCAAGCATGTGTAAAATTTTATAAAAGGCGAATGCGTTATGTTTGAGGCGCTCAGTGTAGGTACAAGTGTGTGTAATGATAGGTGCGTCCATCGAGCTTCTAGCATATAGGCTTGAAACCACCCCGGTACAACACTAATGAATTGCCTCGTTTTCGCTGATTCTTTAGCAAACTTTGGGGCACCGCAGTGATTTTATTTGACTGATTTTTATCAATAATGGAGGATTCAAAAATAAAGAATTATGAATTCGAAGGTTTTCAGCTGATAAAATCCTAAAGCCATCAACATTTCTATTGTCGGCGCCAGAATTAAGTGTGGATTGATGTAAGAGGCATATATCTCGGGAACAGCAATAGCTATCCATCTGTGGTTTTCATCAATCGAAAGAGGCTGGATTAGAACATGTTTCCACATAAACTATGCAAAATGAAATCATCACATAAGCTATGCATTTCGCGAATCTTTTCGAAAAATATATAATAAAGCAATATAGTTTCAATGAAATTGTTATTTTGATATGCGTTAGATAGAGGGACTTCAACTCTATAGTTCTAGATACAATACAGATAGTTATCTTCGCATAGTCTACCAGTGAGCAGATAAATTCAACCATTTACTTCGCAAATGCATAGAGAATTGCGTTGGTTCTTAGCCCAATTTTCTTAATTTTTGTCAAAACACCTTGATGTTTCACTGAAAATTCGACAGAACCTAAGAAGTTTTAGTTGAAAATCAGCTCAATTCTCTATGATTTTACGAAGTAAATGGTTGAATTTATCTGCTCACTGGTAGACTATGAGAAGATAACTATCTGTATTGTATCTAGAACTATAGAGTTGAAGTCCCTCTATCTAACACATATCAAAATAACAATTTCATTGAAACTATATTGTTTTATTATACATATTCTGAAAAGATTCGCGAAATGCATAGCTTAGGTGATGATTTCATGTTGCATAGCTTATGTGGAAACATGTTCTAACTCAGCCTCTTTCGATTGATGAAAACTGTAGATGGATAGCTGGTGTCATTCCCGAGATATTCATGTTACACTAACTTACACTTAATTCTGGCGCCGACAATAGACGTAAATTGTTATCTCACTTCTTCTTATGCTATCAAAAGACGCATAAAGAATTCCGAAAGTATTGATTGAGATCATGAAAAATTTAGCTGTCACCATTCGTAACTTCGATCTTAACTGAAAATTCTGTATCCTCAAATGTCAAGTCCGCTTTTCTCGATACGGCGTGTGCATTGGTCAGAAGAACGTAGGATCAGACTCTAAAGTTATTTCAGAATACCCTCTATCGTCTGTCACACGAACTACATACCACGTTGCCAAACGTGAGTAAATGTGCATATCGTGGTGGCTCTGG